TGGGGTTTGGTGGGGAATGATGGGAGGATGCTCTGTTTAGCTGTCACTGCATAGCAAACCATCCCGAAGCCTAGTGGTTTAAAGCAACAACAATAATTTATTTTCTCTTGAAACCTGAGCAGGATGCAGTGGAGGTGGCCCATCTTTGCTCTTTGCAGCTTCATCTGAGATGGCTCAGTTGGCAGCTGGAGAATCTGCTTCCATCTTGCCCTACTATCATGGGTGGTAAGTTCTTTCTGCTGGCAGATGAAAGAGCAGCCAGGGGAGTGAGCCAGTGATTTCATGTCCTCTTCATGTGGACTTGATGGACAACTTGGGCTTCCTCACCACATGGGGGCCATGTGCCAAGGGCACGTACTCCAAAGAGCAAGGAGGCATCCTCCCTATCTAACTTTAGAAGTCACAGCCATCCACTATTTGCCAAAGCAGTAACAAATTCCATGGAATTACGAGGCAGTGGCACAGACCCATATAACGCAACAAAAGGAAAAGCATGCTAAGATTATAAGAAGAATAGGTGGTATAGAAGATACTGTTATAACCATTTTTTGAAAATACAATCTACCATAGTAACAAATAAATGCAAATTAAAAATAAAAAAATAAAATTTACACTATTTGAAAATGCTATGCCATAGATTTGAAAGCATATTCCAAATCCTTTGTACAATATCTGCAAATATATTCCTTTCAGCTTGTTCCCTTATATTTTTAATTTGTTCTTCATACTTCATCTTTAGCACTTTTATTTCTTCCTCTTTTTCTTCCTGTGATATTTTTCCCTGATCACATTGCTCTTCTCTTAGTTTAATTTCCATCTCCAATTTCTCAGCATAGATTTTCTTCAGCTTTTCATCTGTGTCCTTGTATATGGCATCAGAAAAGTGAGCCCCTTCGTTCTTCTGCACCATTTCCTCTATCAGCTCCACCAGCTCCTGCAGTTGAGCTTCCTTATCAGCCTCATCTGCATTCTGGTTGTTATTGAAGACACAGAAGCGGTACCCACACTCCTTGATGATGTTTTGTAGGTTCACAACTGATTCATCTAAAAAGTCACTCATTATCTTATCACCCAAATTATCTTTGTGAGTGAACAAGACGATGATGTGCTTCATGGCCACCATCCCAAAGAAGGCCTTGATCAATGCAACTGTTCTCTGCTCCTCTTCAGTGTAGTGGCCGAGCTGTAGAACCAGGATGATGGCATGAGGCCCAGGGTAGGTTAATTGGACACACCTGCTGATTTCCTCACAGGTGGTCTGCAGTTTCTCCTTGGTGTCAAATAGCCCTGGGGTGTCCACGACAAGAAGTTTCCTCCCCTTCCAATATCGCTCTGCTTTCTGACAGGACTTGATAACAGCAAGGGCAGAAATTTTAGAATCAAATTCCTTTCTCCCAAGGATCGTGTTTGCTGTTGCACTTTTTCCACTTCTGGTTTTCCCCACCAGAACAATCCTCAGAGTGTTGTCCTGAAGGCTAGCCATCTTCTCAAGAGGCTCTGAGATGCAGGTACCAACAAGACCTTAAGAAAGGGAATGAGCCGAAACCGGTTTGGCTCAGCGGATAGAGCGTCGGCCTGCGGATTGAAGGGTCCCGGGTTCGATTCCGGTCAAGGGCATGTACCTTGGTTGCGGGCACATCCCCAGTGGGAGATGTGCGGGAGGCAGCTGATCGATGTTTCTCTCTCATCGATGTTTCTAACTATCTATCCCTCTTCTTTCCTCTCTGTAAAAAATCAATAAAATATATTTAAAAAAAAAAAAGAAAGGGAATGAGAAGGGGAATGGGTACTTAGGTAAGTGAGGACCATTCCAAACCCTCTTTTCTTCATTCTTGTCCTTGCAATTTGTAATGGTCTATTATTCATATGGAAGAAATAATAAAGCTGAGTTTTCCCACAAAGGAGTAAAGGGTGCAGGTGTTTTCACAGGAGAACTCACTTAAACCTCTACAAATATGATCATCTCAATGTTATGTGAGCTATTCCTGATAACACAAAAAGAGGGAAACCTTTCCATTCTTTCTATGAATCAAGTGTGATATCGATCCTACAGGCTAACAGAGATTTGACCAATAAATAAAGTTACCGACATGACTCATTTGGAAATATCCACACCAAAATTAGTTGTTACAACAAATCTTTTTAGTAGACTAGAAGCCTGGTGCATGAAATTCATGCAGGGTAGGGACCGTAGGCCTAGCC